CTTTGTAATCAGTTAGTTGAACTTGTAGATGCAGCATACTTCAAACCTAGCCAGCTGTGCCTGCTTTGAGGAGCCAGTAGTCACTATAACAAATCCTAAGCCAAGTCTTCCAAAAAGTAGTTCTTATAGAAGAAATTGTGTGTGTGTGTGTGTGTGTGTGTGTGTGTGTGTACGTACATGCATACACATATATGGGAATGAACATACATATATACATACATACAGTTTGCAGACATATAGAATAAATGACCTGTCAAAGGAGGTTTTAGAATATGTCAGTGGAACAAATGTATTTCTAAGCTCAGAACTTGGTCATACTTAATACACATTTAATTTCTTGGATCTCTATCGTGTGTAATTTGATTGGTCCCCTTCAAGTCTAGTTCTTTTTTGTTGAACCAAGAGGAAGAGCTAGCTTTGTGAGTGTGCCATTTTAAAATTCCCCCTAATTTGTTTTCATCATCATAATATTGTCCCTTGTGATGCAACGTAATAAGTTGCTTTTCTAAGATTTACAACACTTATATATGATGGGTACTGTGCCAAATAAAATAAATATGTGATTAATTCAGATACCAAGAAAGATACTTGAAAGAGTCCGTTTAGTTAAATTGGTCCATTTAATTAAATTTACTTGAGCTTGAATTTCTACTGGTTGAACTATGCAATCATGCTTACTTGTTTTATAAATACTTGATGCATTGGCCTAGGTTCTTATTATTTGTTTAGTTGTTTTTGTTGTATGCTTTAATTTAAAAGGTTACTCTAACCTAATTTTTAGTGTACTTAATTTTTAGTGTTATTTATCACTTACTGGTAGCACTGAAAGAGGCTATTTTTTGTTTTACTTTTTGTTTTAAAGTAAATCCGCTGGCACAGAAATAGCTTCTCATTTGGTTCCTGAAACCTGGTGTAGTTAAAGATGGACCCACTGGGTGAAGAACTGCAGAAGAGTTTATTACCTCTGCTTTTGTAGTTTTTCTTCTTATGAAGGAGTATTATGAAAGAGTAAACACAAAAATGTCTGTGGATTTTTGTTAGTGTTCTAAATTCAGCAATCTCCTGGTTGCTTAATTGTGATACTGTGAAATAAAAACTCTTATTCACTTCAGTACATAGCACTACTATTTTCTGAAATGTGACATGCTGTTAGGATCCAATATAGTAGGGCTCTAGAAGGCCATTGTCTCGTGATTGGAAAATGAGATGAGATGAGGGGATTCTCACCTAACTAAACAAACAAACGTTTGAGCATTATGCAATATTATGAAATGTTACACTTTACTAAACACAATAAAATACCGTTTTGCAGTTGCATTTGTATGTGTGCTTATTTTCATTATTATTGCTAAGATTGTGTATTCCCAATGGAATAAAAACAGATGTAATGTTCAGTTAACAGTCTGTCCGTTTTATAGAACAAGAATCTTAAAGAATAGTTAATTCATAACTAGGTAGAAAAAGAGAGGAGAGGGAACCCTCCCAAAAAATAGAACAAGTAGCAGGATGCTAGTTGTAAATGTGTTATCAGTAGTCACAGTCATTTTTAATGAGGTGCAGGTGTGTGAGTGGTGCCGCATAAGCATAGTATCTAGCTATGCTAAATGCTTTTCTGCTGCCAGGAGAAAGCACTGCAATCCAGTCAACTTACAGAAGGAAGACTCACATGTCCAGGGGGATCGGAGCCCTCAACACCAGTCTTTTGAAGCCTCAACGTTCACCCCTAGTGACACACTTCCTCCAGCAAGGCCATAACTCCTATGCTTCCCAAAAAACCACCAACTTGTCACCAAGTATTTAAATGCCAGAATTAGGGTAGATATCTCATTTTAACCACCACAGTAGTGTACATCTCACAAAGACTATTAAAATGGAAACCCTGTCAGGCAAAATGAGCAAATCCCATATTGTAGTTGTTTTGGTTTTAGAAAGTTGCACACTTTTCTCCAGACTGGCTTTATAAATTTTTCTCCCATTGGTAGTATACACAGGCTCTCCTATGCATAGCCTAACCAGCATTTGTTATTTATTAATAGCCATTCTACTAAAGGAAATAGTATTTCATTTCGTTTTGATCTGCATCTCTGAAGTGAAGCCCTTCTAGTATATAGCCCAAAGCAATGAAATCACTAAAGCAAAGAGATAACCACACTCTGAGTTATTGCAGCACTGATTCCTCATAGCAGGGGTGTGAAATGGCCTACACTTAAGTTACACGGACTAAAAAAATGTTAAATTTCGTTTTTGCCAGCTTGTTTAACTTTTGCAAAGCAGTTGTTAGGACAGTCTTTGCTGCTGAGGCATTGCGGGTCTGAGCATCTCCATAGCCTGTGACTTGAGTGCCTGACCCAGGGGAGTTCTAAGGATTGTTTTCGCTTTCTTGTTCATTGAGGTGGTTATTTTGATGGCCTTGAGTAGTAATTACACCGGTTCAACTTAGCAGAAGACAGAAGAAGAACTGCTGCCTTTGTGAAACCATCTATCACCCTTACCTGCCTACCATGCTCTGTTGTGAGCTTTTAACTCAGTATTTCAGGGGTTCCCCGTTGTGCTGGCCAACTTTAAGCTACCCAGGAAGGGAAATGAAGCAGTCATGGGTCCCTTTGATTTTACAAATGACTGCCCACAATATTTACCGTCTGTTCACGTTTTTCTCCGTCGTTTTTTGCACATATGAGTTCTTGCTCCTCCATTCTGGCAGGAAGTGGGAAGTGCACCAGTCTACCATGCTCTCAACAAACCGGAAGGCAGGCTTCTGCCTCACTTGCCATGCTAATGCTTTTTTCTTGCATCTTGTTTTTCTTTCCTCTCATTTATTCTGAGGTAATTTGGTTCCATTGCTGTGTCTGGCTTCATTTATTTGAATTTCTGCCTTTAACTTTTTGGTTTCTGGATTGAGGGGGTTGTTTGGTGGTGTTTTGTTTTTGTTTTTGTTTTTTGTATTTTTTCCTATGCTGCTCTCCCAGGCAATTTTATTAAGACATTCTTTTTTTTTTTTTAATAAGAAAAGCAGTTTGTAAAGCTAAAACAAACCTGTATGATTAAAAAGTAAATGCTAAATGAAGAGCATGTGAGGGCAAGATAAGTATTTTTTAAAAAGTTTGAAGACTATCGACAATCTTTTTCCTTTTCTATTTTTTTATATTTATTTATTTGTGGCAGGGTTTTTCTGTGTAACTAACCCTGGCTGTCCTAGAACTCAATCTGAAGACCATGTTAGCATTGAACTCATAGAGATCCACCTGCCTCTGCTTCCCAAGTGCTGACATTAGAGAATGTACCCCCACCGCCTGACTCCTTTTCTGTTTTTAAAATAGCTTTATAATTACTGTTTTAATACTTCGTCAATGAAATAAATTCTGGAGTAATTCTTAGCTTCAAATCTTTTGCTTAATTGCCAACCAGAAAAAAGTATAACTAAAGGGACTATTCAGGTACCAAATACTAGAGACCTTAGGTTGAAAATTAGTATTTGGGGTTTTTGTTTCTTGTTTAGAGACAAGGCTCACACTGTAGTCAAAGCTTGCTTTGACATCATGGAAATATTACCTTAGTTACCATAGTGCTTAGATTACTTGCATAAGGTACCGTTGATCGGTAAAAGCGGTAAAAGACAGATTGTAGCTATACACTTTGTGCATGAACGTCATAATGTAATGGTAAGAGACCATATATCAACTTCATGTTGTATGATTCCATCAAAAACAAGTAAAATGAATCAACAATGAAACTTAGAACAAGGGTTACCTTTGGGGTGTTCCAAGTTGAGAGAGAGCAGAGTTCTGAGGTTCTGTTGATTATTTTATTTTGGGCAGTGAGCATACCAGTGCTGTAATCCGTGGAGTCTGGATCTGGAAACCCAACTATGGTAGCAAGGTAATGGAGAAAGGACAGGCACACTGCAGAAATGCTAGAGTTTGGGCGCAGTGTGCACACTGATGGAATGTGCTACCACCACCACCACATGCTGTTTATTACATAAGCGCAGAGGGCTCGATTAGCTAGTCTTCATAGGAGGTATCTGTTGGCAGGCTGTCTCAAACTAAACATCCGGGAGGAGGAAGCTGCAATTGCTAGTGTTTGGACACACTGATCAGTCCTCTGTAAACTCTGGCACTTGGATCAGAGGAAGAAGGTTTTCCCAATATCAAGCCCAGCCCATATGAGGAACAGCTTTGCTAATTTCTCATGGGTCCAAGGGCTTTGTCATGGCTGTGTCCATGACAACAATACATTCACTCAGGACTTCAGTACCTTAGGGCTTCCTTCTAAAGGAGACCACCCCAACAGTAGGGGCTTCCTCATGGACCCTGAAGTAGGCAAAAACCACACCCACACGCCTGTTTTCACAGACATCCTCTATTAAGTGGGAAAGAAAAGATAAAGTGGCTGCTTTCTGACTCAGGCAGGAAATAGCAAATGACCTTGCAGCTGAATTTTTAAGAGGGGGATTCTGTGTTAGAATGGACTAAGATGTGCTGATCAAGGAGCTAAGAGACTAGAGAGAAGGGGAGGGGGACAGGGGAAAGGGAAAAAGAGCATTTGTCCCAGAGGGAAAAAGGACTGCCAATGGATAGATAGGAGATAGACGTGGCCCATGGACAAATGTCGGGTTATAGAGGTAAGGGGGAAACCCGTGTGAAGATGAGGTGTTTCATTTTAATAGGGCATGTTGGTTAGGTGAGCCAGAGGGGGCTTCTTATTGCTAGACCTTGATAGTCAGCCTCAGGAGAAGGAAGTAGTCAAGTAAGGGAACAGACCTTGATGACTAGCTTTCGGAATATAATCTAATGGCTTTTAGTATGGCAGAGAACATGGCAGGGAAGGTCAAGGCCTGCCAGAGCCACATTCTGGAGTGGGCTAGTGTCCTTTTACCTTCTGTTTGCTGTGTAAAAACTCTACTAACTTACCTATACTTTTGTGCATTTTTAAAAATGGGTGTTAGTAAATGTTTATTAAAACGATCTTAATGTTTTTGTTACCAAAGTAGAACCATTGCAAACGTTTTATCAATCTTTTATTATTGCTAATAGTAATGGCGTCTGAGAGAATGCTTTGACACTTAGAGCATCATTTAGCCTTAGCCTGTGCAGCCAACGCAGCCTCTTCACGCCACTTGGCTTTCTTTGCCAGATTCCAACTTGTTAAGGATTCATGTCGTTCTACAGCCTAGAAACAAAACACAGCACAATACGACTATTTAGAAAAATTCACATCACTGTTAGATATATGGAAGAGCCTTTGTTTCAGGACAGTCAGGACTACACATAGACACCTGGTCTCAAAAAACAACAACAATTATACACACACACACACACACACACACACACACATACACACACACACACACACATATCCCATATCCATTGGCAGTCGTTTGCCCCTTATCCCATTAAAAGATTTCTAGAAAGCAGAGAATTGCTAGTCTGGCAAGCAATTTTCTGGAATAAGGTAACAATGGTATGGTTTAGATTTCTTTGTTCACGTTGGACTATTCAGCCCAGTGAGCACGGCTCTAAAGTCTCCCCTCTGAGGAGAACATTTTAGGGGTAGGTTAATCCCAATCTTTCAGCATGACATTACTAAGTTAATGACACCTGGTCCTTGCCCAGAGTTAGGGGACTCGGACATCTGAAAACCTGAGAAGTAAAGACCTGAGGGTGTCCTGTCATCTCTAATGGTGTAGCCGCTGGCTAGGTGGGAATGAGAAGGGGTTCAGAGTGAAAAGAAAGATCCCAGAGGGTAGAGGGGGTGAATATGATCACATTGTATACATAAATGAAACTTTAAAAAAATTCCGAGCAGTGAAGTCATATGAGTACTTGCCACCCCAAAAGACAGAGGAGCCTAATATATCCAGAAGGGAGAACACTGAGATCCAGCTATGCAGCCAGCCCTAACCAGTCCAGTCACAGGTGACAACAGAAGCAGAGTGTGTCTAGAGACAGCTGCCAGGTGCAGGCTCTCAGAGCATCTGTCCGGATTGCTGGAGCGGCTGGGGGCGGTGGGGGATGATCCAGAGGGTGAAAGGTAGAGTACAGACGTGAACTAAACTGTTCATCTCTCACTTCTCTTTATAGATATTGGACAGAAAGTGTGCATGGAGGATGCCATACTCAACCCCAACAGTCACTTCTGCACGCTTGTGTCCTAAGTGCGCAGCCGCTACTTAAATGATGATTCAGAGAACAGAGAATGAGCTAGTCTGGCTTACTTTCACACAACAGAGTTCACCTGCAGACTTTAAACTATTCTTTGTTATTTTACAAATAGGGGGGGAAACTTATCTCTTTCTTGATCAATTAGTTTTGGACCCAAATTTTCTTGACCAGATTTGTGTCTATTATGATACACGTATGTGGGTGGAACCCAGATCCAAAGATGAATTTGTTCTTAAAGCATAGTCCATCCCTGAATTCAGAACAAGGTCTGTAACATTTCTTATAACTAGTCTTGTTTCTCTCCCCAACCCTGTAGGGGTAAACTGAACCCTGGGCCTCCAGAAGGCAGGTGATCATTCTGCCTCTGCGCCCCATCCCTGCCCACCACTGCCGGGTATTTATTTCAGGGAGGCACTTACCCTCTTGGCGGATACAATCACAGCAAAGCAGGCGATGATTGTGAGCCCAATCATTATGTAACAAGTTTTCACTCGAGCTTTGTTTCTGGCAACATCTATCATTTCAGGCCTAAATGGAGATGTGCATTTTGTTATATATTTTCAGTATTTGTTGATACTTTACTATTTGTTAATAGTAAGGTAATCCAGCTTTCTCACAAGCATGATAACTAGTGATTTATTACTTGAATAGCCCAAATACTTTCCCAAATGCAAACCACAGTCTTAAAAGACCACCAAATGCTAGGCCATTTCGTCTTTGCAATTTCAAATTAGCACACATTTATTCAGATTCCAGTCTTAAACTAAAGGTAGCCACTATGAAACCAGTGTAATATATTTGGTTTCTAATTGATCAAGATAAAGCTACTAGCAATGTGTTGGACTATGGTTATTTCTTAGCTAGGATAAAAGAACTGAAACTGTTTGGAACAGCTTATATTTAAACCCATTTTCCACACTTCCTTTCAAGAGCCTCTCAGTTTCTTCTTGTCACTTCCTATCTCATTCTCCAACGAGACTAGTTACATGCAAGTGTAGTACAGTTATCTTAGATTTTAGTAATGCTGCTTACATGGCTGCTACAATGGGAAATAAGCCTTCCGTGCTTTTATATTGAAACAAAACTACCAATTTGCAATGGTAATTAAGTGGCAATTTATCAATATGTATAAGTTTTTTGTGTCTTGAAAATATTGAGTGGCTTTCTTATCTAGTATAAAGTTTACATATCTGATTATCTATAATACAGTTACATTTTTTAAAATTCATAATGACATGTTAAATTTATTTTGAAAAGGAAAGTTTTAACTCACGATTTGAAAAACATCACAAAAAACCCACAATAGTCTGTTTTCATTACACTTCAGGCAGAATTAAGCTTAAAATGTCAGCTGCAAACAGGTCAATTAGTGTCCAGGGAGACGTTATTAGATTGTATTTGCTGCTAGCCTTTTTTCCAGATGAAACCTAAAAGATATGATCATTTTAACCTCGTCTAACTGTGATCTGGCATACAAAATTAGTTTAGCAATTAAAAACAAAAGGAACTCATGTTTTCAGCAGTTTGGAGTCTTAAATGTCAAGGAGAGCAAAATTTGTTTATAATATTAGAAAATATCTTTTAAGTTGATTTCAATTTTTTTTAATTTTTTAACTATTGTTCCAAGAGCACGCTTCATTGCTTCACAATGAATTACTTGGTGTGCATTTTTCCAGCACACGTTTTTCCTCTTCCACTCACTTGAAACCATTTATGATGAGACCAGCCATGCTGAAGTAACCTCACTTCCCAGGGCCAGGAAAGCTGGTACCAGATGGCTACTGTCCAGTAGTCAAAAAGCCCTATCCAGCACTCTTTTCTTGCATGGTGCAGAAGGGAAATAACTCCTGACATTGGCCCCTCTCGGTCACGCCCGCCATCACCAACCAGGTTCTAGTTTAGCATAAGTATTTGAATTACTTTTGCCTTAGCAAGGGCAAATTTGGGATGCATTTGCTTTGTTTGGTTCCCAGTCTGTCATTGTGGTATGGTGTGAATAGATTGGGGATGTAGTGTATTATGGGGGTAAGGCGTGTCGTTTGTAGCTGAGATGCCCATTTATGTCCACGGGAAGTCAAGAGTAATAAATGTTTGCGCTGTACTTTTTCTTCCTTCCAGGAAACTCCCCCCACCCCACCTCCACTACCGCCAGTGAGTCTCCTTTTCATCCCGGTTAACCTGATCTAGTAATTCCTCACAGACTTGCTCAGAAATATCTTTCCCACAATCCCCTCACGTTCTTGTTAGCCATCCCAGTACTCCATGCTAAGCCTGCCCAAAGCTCTCCAGGAACCCGTGTCTACAGAGGTTATCAGGAACTCCCTGATACTTCCTGGATTCTCATTCAGCTTCAGCACTCTATAATCCCAGCTTCGCACTGTCTCGTCAAGCACCTTGACATTTACCCACTGTAGGGAGTGTTGTAAACTGCCTATGACTGTGTTAGTGCGTACAACTGTGCAGCACTACCGCTGCCTTACCCCCGTCCAACAAGCGCACTGGTTGGAAGCTGTGTCCCTTTGAGTCTCCCGGCGGGCGAAACCCAGACCAGGGCCCCTTTCACACTTACGGTACTAGGGGCGGAATCTCGTCTATGGATTTGAAACGCCCGGTCCACAGCAGGATTTTCTTGTCGAATTGCGAAGGCTTGTACTGGGCGGGAATCCTGTGAACTTTCTCTGCAACGAAAGCGACAGTGCATCCGTAAGCCTGGCCCCTCCAGCCCGAGGCCCTGGCTCCCCCTCGCAACTCCCTCCCTCCCAGCCTTACCCTACCCTAACCTGGGGGCTCAGAGCCGCTGGGGTTCTGGCTGCTGGAGCTACAGGGGTGGCCCCTGGCCCGGGGACCCCATCCCAGCCAACTGGAGACAGACTGAGGGGCGCGGCGGATGGTGAACTCCAAGCCCCAGCGCAGGACTCTGCCGCGGACCCGGAGCATCCCGCACAACACACTCTCTGGACCCGACAGCTACCGGCTCCAGAAATCTCGGCCCCGCCCCGCCCCGCCCCCGCCCCCGCCCCCGCCCCCGCCCCCGCCCCCGCCCCCGCCCCCGCCCCCGCCCTGGAGGCTGTACTGAAGCTTACTGCACTGTCCCAGCCTCAGCCCTGACACAGGACAGTTCTGGGGGCTCCCTGGGTCCGAGTGAAAATTTCGGGGCGCAGGACCACGAACCCTTGAGACAGCTCACGCGACTCATTTAAAGGGCATTTCTTAGTATTGAGTAGATAGGGGTTTTCATCAGGATTTCAGCCTTGGATCCACTAGAAATAAATCCAAACTTTTTACAGATCTTCAAATGCAGGAAATGTCAAATCTCACCAAGCAAGGGCAGGAACTCTAAACAAATTAAACATCCCTTCCACACCCCGAAGCAGCTGTGTACATGTGGCTGGATTTCCAGATCGTTTTCCTTCTAGCTAAAGTGAAAGCAGGCCTTCTTGGGAATGCCCAGCTCTTCTTAGACTAAGGAACCCACAAGGTCACTTTGTAATCATCCCACTGACTGTAGCAAGAGCATGGCTTAAGCCCCCACAACTGTCTTTGAAGCTGAGACATGTAACGTTAGAGTTGCACAATCGTTTATGCGTTTTGATCTCGTTTGTAAAAACAGAATGTTGGCCTTGACTACTCTAGCCCTGCCATGTACCAGGTATTTCTCAAAACTGGTATAGGGCAGTGATGGTAGGTAGGAGTAGTGAATTTTTAAAATAAATATACAGCAGAAACATACAGTAAGCAAGAGTAGGGTTTGGATCTGAGGCTGGGGGTGCTTGGTATGTTGAGTTCTTATTCTCTAAATAAAGCTTTAGAAGACAGATTTCTTTCCCTTAGCAGTCTCAACCTAGTCCCTGAACCCAGGGCACTTTAGTTTATGAAATTCCTTGTAGAAAAATGTGAGTTCTCTGACATGAAGGATTGGTTATTATGTTCCCAGCATATATGTATATGGGGAAATAAGGACTTAGTAGATACTAACTAGGAATTGAATAATGAGTGGATGAATTCAAGTCTTCAAATAGAAGAGACTTTGTGCTGGTTAGTTTCCATCAATTGACACGAACTAGAGTCCCTTGGGAAGAGGGAACCCCTACTGAAGAATTGCCTTCGTAAGACTTTGCTGTAGGTAAAACTGACTGATTGATGACTGATGCAGGAGGGTCCAGCCCATTGTGAGTAGCACCACCCCTGGGCAGATCTTGGGTGGTGTGAGGCTTCCTGAGCAAGCCATGAAGAGCAAGCTGGTAAGCAGCATTCCTCTGTAGTCTTTGTTTTAGTTTCTGTCTTCAGGCTCCTGCCATGAGTTGCCGTCTTGGATACTGCTGGTGGTAGGCTGGAACCTGTAAGCCAGAAGACCCTTTCTTCTCCAAGCTGCTTTCAGTCATGGTGGTTACTGCAGCAACAGCAAAGCAAACTAGAATAGACTTCGTCCAGGCTAGTTGTAGAAAAAAGACTTCACAATCGAGGTCCCTTCCTATCTTGTATCTGCAGTGCTCGTTGTGTTGTCCAGCACACAGCAGCCGACAGGTAAATATTGATGGAAGCCAACTGGATGAGTCCCTACTTGAGAAAGTGCATTGCCACAGATATCTGATGGTTCCTCCATTACATTACTTGACAATTCTCCCACCATTCAAATGTTTTTCTTTTTACTTTTAATATTTTATTTTCACATCACTGGGGAAGCACCCATAGAGCTAGAGTGAACTATCTCTGAGAAATCGTTCATCATTAATAGTCCACCGGATTAAGCTAGCTAAAAATTCATTTTCCTGGAGTGAACAGACATACAGGGCACAGGGCAAGGGAATAAGAGTTCAAGTCACAAGAGAAGGAATAGCTTGCACTATATTCTCTACCCCTGGCAGGATTAAGCTATAACCTTGGGGCAGAACTTTACATAAATTGCTTACAGCTGCCTAGGAAATGTTTTCCTTAGCTCTATAATTAGAACAATTTTTAAAAAGTAGTTGAATCATTTTAATAGAAGAAAAATGATTATATTCCTTTATTTCTTTTTAGCCAGGACATCATATTTATTCATTAAATAAGTATTTAGTGAGTGTTTTCTATGTGCTGTAGGTTCTGATATCATATTTATTCATTAAACAAGTATCTAGTGAGTGTTTTCTATGTGCTGTAGGTTCTGATATGCCAGCACACAGTAGTTTCAGCTGACCCATTCTGGTTTGGTGTTACTTTTCAACCCAAAGATTCATGTCACTTATTTGAAAAGAGTGTTTTCAGGATTGTGCCTTCAAGATTTGTTTTCCATTAATATAGCTTACATTCCTGTTTTGTACATGTACCGTGATTGCTTCTTAAAACACAGTGTTGTGCCCAGGAATAGATAATAGATTTGGTGTAGGTTAACCTTCCTTCCTTCCTTCCTTCCTTCCTTCCTTCCTTCCTTCCTTCCTCTCTCTCTCTCTCTTTTTTTCTTTCTTTCCTTCCTTCCTTCTTTCTTTTTTTCTTTGTTTCTTCCTTCCTTCCTCCCTCCCTCCCCCCTCTTTCCCTTCCCCCAACTTCCCTCTCTCCTCCTTTCTCTCTTTCTTAATTAAAAACTTCATGGCCTGTCTTAGTCTAAGGCAAAAGATGTTTGCATTTGAGTTAGGCATTGCCCTGGGGAACTGCCAATCTGTTTGGGATAATGTTCCCTTGCCAGGAAATTCTCTGCTCCCAGGGGAAGTGTTAGGAGGACCTTAACTAACTTGTTTTCTGACCTTCTACTAATCTTTCAGTGGGAAAATTTCAAAACGATAATTTCCCTACATAAACATCTCACATGGTCCCCAGTGCTGGGGAAAACTTACCAACTGTACATAGTTCTTGTGAGACCTGCTTACCTATCATTCAACAACAAAATGCGGGGACTTTTTATTTTTATCAGGGAGCATTTTGAAATGATTCTGACATTTAGGACTTTAAGAAGGAGGAAGAGGAGGAGGAGGAAGAGGAGGAGGAGGAGTAAGAAGAGGAGGAGAGGAGGAGGAGGAGAGATCTCAAGGGGACAGCAGAAACTCAGTGATGGTCCTGCAATAACTTCCTAAGTATATGCTTATATAGGAGTTGCTCGAGACCAGAGCACTTCCAGTGCTTGAAGATGTGAAAAGTGTTAATATAATCTGAGTTCTTATAGCCACAACTGAAGACATTGAAACCTTGACCAAAAGCAGCTCTTTTTTTTAATAAAGATTTTATTATTTATTATGTATACAGTGTTCTACCTGCACACCAGAAGAGGGCACCAGACCTATTACAGATGGTTGTGAGCCACCATGTGGTTGCTGGGAATTGAACTCAGGACCTGTGGAAGAGCAGCCAGTGCTCTTAACCACTGAGCCATCTCTCCAGCCCCAAAAGCAGCTCTTAAAACATGCTGCAAACACCTTCCGTGTCGTTCTCTATCCAAACCCTTATCCATAGCCTCCAAAATCAGCCCCCGCCCTACCAGTGTAGCTCACACTGGGCCTTAGCTCCTGATCCTTTTGTTACATTCTCTCACATGCTGATATTACAGCCGTGTAATATAATATAATATAATATCGCCATTTAATTCCCCTTTTCTTGTGTGCACACAGTACAGGAAGGGAGGTGTGGCCAGGTTAAGGGCGTGTCATCCATTCTTAGTGTGCAGGAAGATTAATGCATTCAAAGAGACTCTTCATTTTCCAGGTGAAACAGAGAAATGGCTTCCACCTATTTAAGGTAGTGCCTGAATGGAAAGCCACTTGTGATGTCAGATGTGCTAATATATTTAATTCATTCAGTAAGATAACAAGAAGGAAAATCACCCCTAGTGAAGCTTGGCGTAAGGCTCTGAAGTAGGAAGAACATTACTTTATCCAGTGTTGGCTACTGCTAAGAAGTCAGGCACTGTGAGACTCCTAACTTTAGAAAACCTTTTCTTCTTTTCTAGACATTTGTTTTGAATTTTTCCTTTGATTCTGCCTGATCTAAAATTTCACAATGAGTCATTTTGGTGCACATCACTTATCCAAAGTTCTTAACATTTTCTGGGCTCCATGCTATGGATATTCATTATTTAGAATTGAAAGTAGTAGATAATTTCTTGAAAAGTTTTTCTGATAAGTGCCACCCCAATACTTCTGTGTTTATTCTGAAAGCTGCATTTGGATGTGGTAGTGTCTTCAAACTTTCTTCCCAGTCTTTCCCATTTTTTATTTTATTTACTTTTTTGGAGATTTTTCTCAACTTTATTTTCATCTTTACTTACTACGAATTATCAACTGAGTGTGTACTATGTGACAAAAGTTCCAGACTCTGGATATAGCACCAGTGGGTCGAGTAAAAGAAAACTGTCTGTTCTCTTGAGTGTGTGATCTATTTTATTGAGGCAGATGATATTAAAAAGCGTATGACAAACAGAAAAACCAGTGCAAGAATGAGTCTCGCAGAAATGAGGTCTGTGATAAAATTAGGTCATCTATATGAACACCGTCCTGTAAGGTGATACTGCTTAGTGACATCATGCCATCTCAGTTTGTAGATACATTTTATGATGTTCCTGGTGTGATGAACTTGACCATATGGATGTGCATCAAAACTATGCTTGTCACTAAGTAACAAGTGATGATGCTTAAAAAATTACATGACAAAATTAATAGAAGTAAGGCTGAGGGAGGGTCTAAATACCATCCGGGAGGTAGACTATATTTTGCACGGAGTGATCAAGAGAGGACTCACTGAGCAGATGGCATTTTCAGGGAGATTTAAAGTGAAGGAGTGAGGGAAAGAGAGTGTAGCCACGCAAGGAAGAGTTGTTACAAAGGAGGGAATGCACAGGGGAGTTCCACTGATGGCAAGAAAGCAAGCTATGGCTGCGCTAAGGTGATGATGATGCAAACATATTAAAAATATAACAAAAATAAAGTTAGAAGAGAGACGGGCCATGCATGGCTAGATAATTCTGCACATAGACTCTACAGGTTATTAAACAA